AATTTTGGCTTAATTTTACCAAACACCAAGAAGTGCCACAATAGTTAAGGGAAGGCAGAGGCAAGCTAACAAAAAAGTTACTAATACAACAATATATCGCAGCCTAGAAACAGCTACTCTGTTTATTTACTGACAAGATTACAAAAATAATCATGGTGGATACCTTAGATCATCAGTCTAATAAGTCTGTTGATCTGGTCTTTCCGATTGCCAGCATCTCCACCTTCTACAAAATGGGTGGTCTTTTTCTTCATTCCACTTTGTGGAGAAAATAATTTGAAGGACCACAGGAAGTTATTTGCTTCTTCAAAGCATTTTCCAGTATTATAGATTTCATGAATCAGATCCTCCATGCAGATGATGCTAAATTTATCAAGAGATTGAGCAAAGAGTTATCTATTGAAGTAATTTGCTTATTGATTTTGCCATAACCACACTTATAGATCAGTTCACTTACTGACTTCAAGTTCAAGTATCCTCATGCAATATATGGTCCCACAATTCTCAGCATGTTAATTGAGGCCTTGTTGAGCTTAACAAAGGTGCCATTGAAGATCTGGCGAAGACGAAGAAGCCGTGACACCTTTCAAACCTTTGGGCTCACTCCATTGGAACCTCTGATCCTGATGACAAATGCCAATTTGGGTTCTGCAGGTACACAGAAGTTGCCAGCCTTTCTTGAGATCCTGGCCATGTGAATCTCAGTTCTGTACATCTGTCTGTATTCCTTATGACAGTGCTCACCTTGTTCATAGATAAGCTTCCTCCTTGCCTTTTGAAGCATCTTTTGAATAAACTTTCTCAGGCACTTGATCTTCAGCTCTGCAAAATCTCTTTACTTTTTCTTAAGGGTTTCTGGCACAGTAGGAACCTTTTTCTTGGTGGCTTCAGCTGTAGCAGGAACCTTTTTCTTGGTTTCTGCCACAGCAGGAACCTTCTTTTTCTTCTTGTGAACACCCTCCATGGTTCCAACCGGAAAAGAGTGAGATGCCTCCTACTTTTTTTTTTTTTGGTACAGTATTGCATCGGAAATATGAGGTCTTTTTGATTCCAGACAAATCTTGAAACTTTTTCTTCTATTTCTGTGAAGAATATATCACGTAATTGGATTGGAATTGTATGGAATGTGTAAATTAATTTGGGTATAAGGGACATTTTGATTATATTGATTATTTCAGTCCAAGAGCATGGGATGTCCTTCTGTTTTTCTGGTATCATAATTTTTTTTCAATTTTTCATAGTTTTCCTTGTAGAAGGCTTTCACCTCTCGGGTTAGATTTATTCCTAGATATCTTATTTGTTTTGTAGCTATGGTACATGGGATTGCTTTCTTTTTTACTGTCCCAGTCTGTTCATTGTTGATGTACAAAAATGCTATAAATATTTGTATATTGACTTTATATCTTTCAACTTTACTGAATTCATTTAACATTTCTAGGAGTTTTTTTCATGGATTCCTTTGGATTTTTTATGTATACAATCATTTCATTTGCAAGTAGGGACAGTTTAATTTTTTCTTTTCTTAACTAAATGCCTTTTATTTTGCTCTCTTGTCTGACTGCATTGTCTAGGATGTCCAACACTACATTAAAAAGGACTTCCAACACTATATTAAAAGAAAGAGTGGGCAGCCTTGTCATGTTTCAGTTCTATCTTTTTTTTTTTTTTTTAGAGGTTTTTACTATAGGGTATGTGTGCTCGCCAGGAAAGACTGAGAGAAACAGAGATAGAAAGTGAGAAATCACCCCCCAGGAGGGATGGCCATGCCACAATCCCTTCTCCTCCAGTCCCTCTCAGGATCTCGGGCACACACGCACATGCAACTGGCGTGAGTTTAAGCCACCAGGTCCAGGACTTGAATCGTGGTTGACTACATTGAGAGTCCAGTGACATAGCCATTATGCCAACAACTGGCCCCATGCTTCAGTCTTTAACGGGAAAGCTTTTAGCTTTTCCCCATTCAGTATGTTTGCAGTAGGTCTGTCATATATGGCTTTTATTACTGGGTCATCAGACAATTCATGACACATTTTTGCATAGAAAAACAGAAAAAATATATCATGACTTTTCTGATGGCCCAATATATTCTACCCAATTTTGCTGAGCATCTTGATCATGAAGGGATGTCGTATTTTATTAAATGCTTTTTCTGGATCTATAGATATGATCATATATATATATATATATAAAGATTTTTAAAGGATTATTTTATTTAATTTTCTTTATTATTACTATTATTATTATTATTTATTTTGTCCAAAGAGAGGCAGAGAGACTGGGGGGGGGGGGGAAAGTAAGAAAACAGGTCACCAGGTCTGGGACTCAAACCACGATCAGCCATGTAGTCCAGTGCTTCAGCCATCACTCCAACTGCTGACCCTAAAGTGATTATATATTTTTATATTTCTTTCTGCTAATGTATTGTATTACGTTTATTGATTTATGTACATTGAACCATCCTTGCACTCCTGGGATAAAGCCTACCTGGTCATGGTGTATAAATTTCTTGGTATGTTGTTGGATTTGGTTTGCTAGTATCTTATTGAAATGTTCATATCAGTATTCATCAGGGATATTGGTTTATAGTTTTCCTTTTTTATCATGTCCTTGTCTGGTTTTGGTGTCAAGGTAATAGAGGCTTTATAAAAGTTTGGGAGAATCAAGAGGACTTAGATGTAGGTGACTCAGCATACTGTCATCCATCATATAAACAGATGAGGTACATAAGCCTGGGCTCCCACGTGAATTTTTGTGAGCTTCTTCACTGGAGTCTCTCTCTCTCTTTTTTTTTGGGGGGGGGAGAAGTTTTTGCCACAGGGTGCATGCGCTCGTCAGACAGAGAGAGAGACAGAGAGACAGAAAGCGAGAAATCACCCCCCAGGGCGGATGGTCACACCACAATCCCTTCTCCATGCTCCACTCGGGATCTTGGGCACGCACGCACACGCGCTTGGCATGAGTTTAAAGTCACCAGGTCTAGGACGCGAACCGCGGTCGACTACATGGGAGTCCAGCAACATAGCCATTACACTAACTGCTGGTCCCTTCACTGAAGTCCCTCTTAACACAGTTCTACTTAAGCCAATCTTTCTTCTTTAATTTATTTCTTTTGACAAACTCACTGAACATCAACCATGCAGGCACAGCACTAGTTGTGGGGTTACCAAGAAAATTCTAACAAGTTTCAGGCACAAGGAGTTCACGGTGTAGTGGGGAAAGTGGAGAAATGAACTAAGAGCCACATTCACACTGAGAAAAGGGCTCTGCAAAGGTATCTCTACCTTTCTTTGTAGAAGCAAGCCTCCCCTTCTCTCAGCTCAGAACTGGAGCCATTTATTTACATGAGAGGCAACCAACAAACTATCTACTGACAGAGGCAAGCAGAGTGTCTTTTGCTCTTTGCCTGACTTCTTCCTTCACTATCTTTCCCTCTTGTTTCTCTCTGTTCTTTGGACTTACTCTCCTTCCCTTTTTCCCTATCCTTTTGCTTTTCTCTTAGTCATGTACTTACTTTTCCAGAGCCTTTCCCAAGCACTTATCCTCTGAGCCTGTGTCTTGGGAAACCCTGACCCAGATTGTGTGAAGCTCACAACAGGTTATTTTGCCTTGTGGCTCTGGCATTTCCTGTCCCTTTGTGACCTCAATAGTGAAATGAACATCTCAAAGTCAAATGTGGTTTGGTTGAGGATGCTAAGATCCAGAACATTACAGGAAGAAAGAGGTCAGAATAGGTATAGGAGGCAAAGAAAAGTGAAGTCAGTACAAAGACCTGTGATCTCGTGTTTTGAGCCTCCTGAACACCATCATTGCATCAAACCCTTCCTTAAGACAGCCTAGGCAAGTTTACTCGGAAAAATGCAGCAATCAGAGGGGGTGAAGAAACTGCTTTGTTTGGGACACTGAGAAACAGCATTCCAGAAAGTGATGGTGATAAAGATGAACAGACTGTCGTGCTAATCCTGCTTGTTATTCATGAATAGGCCTGTGAATAAAGCATTTTTTAAAACATCTTTATTTTATTTCTTTCTTTTTAGAGAGTGTTGTGCTATAGGGAGTGTGCATTCGCTGGAGAGACAGAGAGAGACAGACAGAAAGTGAGAAATTACCTCCCAGGGAGGATGGCCATGCTGCAGTCCCTTCTCCATTCTCCTCTTGGGATCTTGAGCATGCATGCTCACGTTCTCAGTGTGAGTTTTAAGTCTCAGGGTCTGAGACTTGAACCACAGTTGATTCTGTGGGAGTCCAATAACATAACCTGCTGATTCCAAAAGATCTTTATTAAAATAACTTTCTTGCTTCTCTTCTATGAACTCCACTACCCTATGCCGCCTCTACCTAAAAGACTGAAAGTGCTGTTGTTTTCAGATCCAGTTGTGTCTGGGCCTGTTATAAATGTCATTTCATGCTCTTCATTCATTAGAAGGCAGTGAAAGCAGATTACACAACTCCCTTTCTGTTCCTTTGCTTTAGCCCCAGAACTGGATCTTCATCTCCCTCTGTTTCACCTATTTATCACCCAGAAACCAATCCATCAAGGTGTTGCTGGGCTTGTACTTGTGCAAAGCTCTTCAGTGGCTACCCTAGACGAGATCCAAAGACGAGGAAGGCATAGTCATGCTTTTAGGAACTTAAAAATCTGTGGAGGAGACACAGCAAAACATAATACAATAAATTCAGACATAGAAGAGAGTTTATGTAACTTGCATCTTTTCTCTTTACCACTTTCAAAGTGATATGCTTCTTTAAAAACATGCCTCCTATCTCTGAAGCTTTTCTCCCCTCTATAACTCCAAGAAGGCCACATTGCTCCTTAAAGCAAAGAGAGTTTGGGACAGGACAGGAGACAGGAAAAGACTTTGGGAGTAGGATGGACACCTTCAATTCCAAGATTTTCCGAGCCCAGCAGAGAACACACGCTGGGCTCGGAATCTGACTCTAGCTCCATGTCATGCCCTTGGACCGACATAGAGCCTGGATGACAGCAGCAGAGGCAATGTTTCCCTCTCTGGGATTTTTATGCAGAATTTACTGCTTTTCTTCAAGAGTATAACAACCATGCACATGCCCAAATCATGGCACACTCATCCCTTTAAGAAATCATGACGGAAAATCTTCAGGAAAGGAGTTGGCTAGGGGTGAGGATGGGGGGTGGTGCTCAGAGTAGACATCGGAGTTGAAGACAGCATTTTCGGGCAGGCAGACATGATGTGTGGCTCATAGTTTTTAAACCACATGGTAAGTAAGGAAAATTCAGGGTAGACTCTTCACCTTTTCAACCAGGTCTAGCAAGAGTCACCAAGTCATTCTAGGTAAAATGGATAACAGAAGCCCCAATGCAGCTGAGTCCAAAAGATGGACCCCAAAACATCCTTCCTTAATCAGTCAGAGAGAATGTATGCTCCACCTGAATCTGGACGGGTGAATAATTCACAAGGTACACAAAGTGGGGGAAGAATTTCTAGAGAGAAAAAAGATGGAGATGTGGAAGGGCCAGGATGGTGGGATCAAGGGCCTAGGAACAAAGAGAATGAGCAGTCCAGAAGGATTCCACAGGAATGGACAACAGGCTGGGACACACTGGAGAGAAGGGAGCAAAGATGAAGCCCAGCCCCTGGTCTCTAGCGGGTAGGGGAGAGCCCAGGGTCTTTGGCATTTCCTCTATCTACTGAGGAGAGTGTTTCTGAGACAGGAAGCTGTACATGGAGACCTCAGTAGAATCTGTTATAAATGGAAGTTGGGTAGAATACTGTAACCCAGCAGCAATTCCGATGGTTTCTGCATTTCTTTCGGATGTTTCAGACTTCTCCAGGTGTCTCTTCCCCAGCCCAAGATGACAATTTCCAAAAAGGCTTGCCTTGGAAATAACTTCTCTTTTATTAAGGTATCGCCTGGACAACGTACACACAACACAAGCAGAAACTACAAACCCACATGCAGAATAAATTATGACATTCGTATTTAAAAGGAGATGACAGAAGAAGCTATTTACCAAGAGGGCCTCCTGGTCCCGTGCCTGGAGAATCACAAAGTGTCAGCAGTCCTAGAGAGTTTGTGAGAAATCTGAGACATTTAGAGACAAATGCCCCCCTCAGAGCATACCTAAATAGGCCCAAACTCTTTCCTGCAAACACGTGCACACCTGCAGAAGCACGTGCAGGAGTGGGGCAGGGAGCAGCCTGTGGATGACAACCAGCTCAGCAGTAAGCACAGTGGACCCAGCTGTGCTCCCTGCGGCTTTGGTGCATGCGTTCCTGGCATTCACCCTTCGCTAACTCCCAGAATCCCTCCAGAGCGTGGGCATGCCCTGTGGCAGTGAGGATGTGGAGGCCTGCTTGCTGAGGCGAGGAACCCAGTTTTGTTATTCTGGACCAGAGGGTGGGGATATCTCAGGGTTTTTATACCACCCTTGCTTTACTGTCTGGTCTGCCAAGCCCTACCAATCACTCCAAGAACTAGTGAAGAGATGTGTTCCTGGGGACACCCACCCCTATGGAGTCCCAGGAAATGTGTGCAAGTCCATCAGCCACTCTCTAGCAGTGGGAAGTCAGGAAAGTTACCTCTCTTCTCTCAGCCTTGGCTTCCCTCCCTGTAAAACTGAGAGTGACCCCTTCACAGGACTGTCATAAGGGATTGCCAAAATTTGATATTGCCAACCATCCTGCCAGAGTAAAGTTTAATGTTCAAAATGTTTTCTTTCCTGCCTTTTTGTTCCCCATTTTTCCCTTCCTATTACTCTACGTTGTTTCCAAATTTATATGTCTGTCAGTGGTAATGTAACCTCAATGGCACCAAAAGCACCTCTTGACCAACAAGGTCTCCATTGCCTGGATAGAGGTTATCAGCACACACTTCTACCCAGTGCAAAACTGTATACTGGGGGTCACGGAGATGGGTCACAGGACTGGGAGAGGCCTGGATACCATCAGGGCCCAGGAGAGACACCTGGGTAGCCTGTGAACACATGGAGACCTGACTAGTCAGGGATAATAGAAAGGTGTCGGGATGGTGGGAAGATGTGAATGAGAAACAATGGTGACTTGAGCTGAGTCTGGCTGGAAGTTGGTCAGTGCTGTTCACAACCTTCATCAGAAATAAGACCACCCTGTTCCTGGAGCAGGAGCACCAAGGACATAGATTTATCTTCCTGGTAGGTTTGCCTACCAAAAGTCAGTGCATGGGAGTCACAATCTATCACTCAGGTTCTGCAGAAGTTTCCCATCCACTCTCCAGAGGTCTGTGTACCCAGCCATCCATCTGGTATATATTAAGAGTTTCGTAGAGTGCTAGCTGACCTGGACAGAAGGCCCTGCATGCTCATTTAGCACCTCGTGGCCAAGGAGTCAATATCTTTTAGTCACTCAACTGGAGTCCGTTACAGTGATGCTGTGAGGTAGTAACGAGACAGGCAGCACCTCTCTTTGTATAGCCCAAGAGGTGTCACAGTAACACGGTGAGCGCAGCTGAAGCTTGGTAAGTACTGGTCTGTCCCCTGAACACCAGGATCGGCTCTTCTGTAGGCTGGGCCCAGCTTGTCCTGGATGGATCTCTTTGTCAGACCAGCTCTGCTGCTTTTCACACCAGTGTGGGTTTCAAGTCATCTTTGAAGTTCACAATGGGCTTGGGGCAGGTCCAGAGCTTCTCCCAGGAAGCCAGTCCTCCATCAGGCTCAGGGTCAGAGTCTGATGTGCCACTGTCACTGGAGGCAGAGGAGCTCTGGAAGCAGATTTCACAGTAGGGCCGGTGGCAGCGGCAGAAGAACTCATCTGAGCTGCTGGACTCGGTGTCCAGGCAGTTGCGCTGAGAAGACAAGGAGGGACAGCCTGAGGCTGCGGGGGGCCGCAGCAGCTGCTGCTCAGGCAGGTCTAGTGAGGCTTTGGATAGGCGAAGGGCAGCGGGACTCAGCACCTGGCTAGAAGCAGAAGACTGGTGAGTTAAGACTGCTTCGTTCCCCTCCGCCCTCTGGGGCTCTGTCTGGCATTGTTTGCTGCCTTCTTGGGTACCTAGATCTGGGAGTCCTGGAGGCTTCCTGGAAGAAGCTCTTGGTACTCTGGAATCGGCAGTTTGGGGGTCCGGGCTGGGGCTGTTTCCATTCTGTACAGTCATGCCACCGCATGCCCCAGATACAACCCTGTTTGCCCGACGCCCCATATATGTGGGTGCAGAGCCAGGAACGTGTGAGCGAGCCCGCTGAGCGGCCCGCCTTCTCCTCACAATGTAGGGGCTAAAGCCCAGCTCCTTGGAGAAGGGTACCTTCTGGGGGCTGTGGGCAGCACTACTCTTCCAGGACTGGGGAGGACAGGAAGGTGAGGAGGGAAGGAGGGCTTCAGGGCCCAGGCCCAGATCTTGTAACACTTCCTGGAGCTTCTCCCTGATTACTGAATTGACCCTTGGCAGCCGCTCTGGGGACTCCTGTGAGTTCTCTAGCTGCTTCTGTCTCTGGGGATCAGAGCCCCCTCTACCTGCTATGAATCTCCCGCTGGGCTCCATGTGTACTTGGCCTCCTCTTTCTGGATGCTGGCTTTCGTTGGCCTGTGACTTCTGGCTATAGCCCAAGTCTAAATGATCAGAAAAGTCTTTGAAGTCAGATGTCTTCTCCTCCTGCCCTGGAGAGGGGCTGGTGTCCTTCACAGATCCCTGAAGGTTGTATAACTGAGAGGAGGGCCCCGAGGGATGCTGGGAGTCCTGGGCAGCTGTGCTGGGATCACCCTGAGAGTCAGAGAGGCATTGCAAAGGCCCTGGAGCTGCCAGGCTGTGGACAGATGCTGCAGCCTGGACATCCTTGCTCTGGGACAAGGCAGGTGGGACATTCGACACTGAGAGGTCATAGCCACACTCTGCTGACATCAGCCTCACTAGCTTCTCTTTGGCGTTGTTTACTTGTTCCTGCAGGCTTTCAATCACAGCATTTTTCTGCAAAAGAAAAGCAAAATCATCAACAAAAATGCCATTGAGGGCTTCATGTTGCCTGCCACAATGGAGAAAGTGTGGCTTCAGAAGACCTTGCTTTAAATTTTAGTTCTCCTAAGGTGCTGGTTGGTGGCCTTGGACCCTGAAGTAGTCCTTCTTTTATTACTAAGTTAATACATAATAAGTGTTTAGCACAATAACTGCCATCTGGTGCTCCACAAGGGCTAGCTGTCACTTACTGTCATCTTATCTTTGTTTCCTCCTTCCGTCCCCAGATGTGCAGTGCCACTGTGAAAAGGGAGGGGGCACGGTCTAGCCAAAGTCTACTTGCTCCAGAACTGAGAGTCAGGTCATTCTGCAAGGCACCAGCCCAGATAATGTTTGGATGGTCCAATGCTGGGTTGTCACACCTTTGCAAAAGACAGGTGAATTCAACGTACACCTCCCATGGCTAAACAAATGGGAAAACAATTATTTTGCTTCTTGCTAAATGGTTAGAAAATGGGAAGAACTGGAAGAAGGGTGGAAATTCCCGGGCTAAACAAGGCTGGAGCCAAGAGGAAGCCACGTGACTCCCAGGTTGGTGCCGTCACCTCTCTGAGTCAGACCCCTCATGAAGAGAGGCCAAAGCTACCACGTGGCAATACCTGTGGTGATTTCCTAAAGAATTATGTGCATCAATGTTATAAGGGAAGCTTAAAAAAAAAAAACAAACCCAAAGCAAAAATGAGGATCCTTGGGCCTGATGGCTTAACTCAGCAGATCTGGAATGGGGCAAGTGGGGGAATGAGACTGGGACGGTTCTGTTATGAAGCCACCACGTGCCTGCTGCATCTCTGAGTCAGACCCCTCATGAAGAGAGGCCAAAGCTACCACGTGGCAATACCTGTGGTGATTTCCTAAAGAATTATGTGCATCAATGTTATAAGGGAAGCTTAAAAAAAAAAACAAACCCAAAGCAAAAATGAGGATCCTTGGGCCTGATGGCTTAACTCAGCAGATCTGGAATGGGGCAAGTGGGGGAATGAGACTGGGACGGTTCTGTTATGAAGCCACCACGTGCCTGCTGCACTGATGTGAGCTGATAAACAGGCTCTGCCTGGGAGGGCTGGCAGGTGAGAGCCACAGAGGTGTGCTCATCCCACCTGCAAGATCACAGGGCATGAAGTACAGTGTCGGAGTGGGTGGACAGGGTCTGACTGCTCCTGGACGGCGTCCCATGGGGCAGGCACTGACACTCTAGCTGACTGCGTGCCCCCCTTGGGAAGTGTCTGACACTCAAAGGTGGAGGAGTGGGGATGAGCTCTTCACAGGGAACTGATGGTCCAGGCAGAGGACATGGGGTTGAGGGATTGAGGAAGGTGATGACACCTGTGTTACGTTCTAGGAAGTGCTTGTCTGAATACCAACATGCCACTTCTTTGATACCACCCTCTCTAGAAACTGAGGGTGAGCATGTGGACATTCATTTATTATGACCTAGAAACAAAAGGATGTTCCTTTTCTAGAAGAACTATTATAAGTTGCCTATGAACTGAACCTGTAGTTTCTGCTCAAGTTCACACAGGACGGTTGCCCAGAAATGATCCCTTAAGAGAGCAGTAATTTAAGTAAAACAGACAAGAATCAGGCAGCAGCTCCCAGGCCGACCCACTGCTCCCCATGTATAAGCAGGAAGGTGATTTTTCTGATAGCTGGAACTGCCGATTTCCTCCTGGTTTAGCCCCCTTCTTTGGCCTCTAGGAGAATGTCCAGGACCAGTGAGTGAGTGTTGAACAAGGCAGAAGGGACCTGCAGCTGAGCACCATCCTGCCTGCACTCCCTCTTCCCTCCCCGCAGAGCAGGAAGGCCTGGGTGTTGCAGGGTAAGGCAGATGGCGGGACTCACCAGGAGATGTTCAGGTCCTGCAGACCTCAGGGTGAGTGTGACGCTACACAGGAGGGACCTCGCCCCCCTCCTCCTGCAGACCCTCCTCCTCCTGAAGCCACCCTGCACATTCTTATCTCCACCGCCTCACAGAGGAAGGCAGGAGCCACCCGCTGATGACACCACTCTGATGATACCACTCCGGCAGGGCAGGTGAAATCCGAGCGCTGCCTTTTGGTGCCATAGCCAAACTCCTTTGCCATATTTCAGACTCCTTTGAGTTGGAAAATGTGAAGGACTTCAAAAAGTTCATGGAAAAATGGAATCAAAGTACGAGAGGATTTTGGTGCAAACACATGTGAAGTCCACGCGTGTTTTTTTGGTAATCCGCATTTTCTGTGAACTTTTCGAAAACCCCTTTGTACTATAAATATTGAGTTGGGAGGAAAACTCTTCTGCACACCGAACATGTGAAGCTGGCTGGAGACAGACTTAGAAAGGTCAACCTAAACAGTGCATGTCCCTTCCTCCAGGAAAGGAGGTGGGACTCTATTTTCACCATGGCTGTGTACTAATTAGAGGCATGGTGTGAGACCCACCGTGGCCGCTCGTTTAAAGGAGTTTATCGATGACTACTTTCGGCACACTTGGGGAGGGGAAGCGTCCACAGGCATGTTTCATAGGGTGCAGGCCGTACGGAAATGGACTCGACCTTTTATGTTAAGGTTCAAGAAAGAAGAGCGATAGATGAGTTTTCTCTACTGCAGAATATAGAAAGCTCTTCAACCTTTGGATTGGGAAGGTTCTAGCTAGCCTCCACCCAGCCTGGAAAGCAGCGACAGATGTGGCCCCAAACAGCTTCCAGGGGATTCCTTCCCCCACTGTAGGGGAAAGAGAGTCCAGAATGAGAAGACGGACTGCCCAGATCTCGGGAGAGTAAGAGGAAGACACGAGAGTAGCAGAGGAAACTGCAAACCACAAAGCTGGAGTCAGGCTCTGTGCACATACTGTGGCAAGAGGGAGACTTGTGCTTATCTAAAAGGCCGTGCAGGAGGACTGGTCCTGTAGTCTAGTGGTTAAGGCAGTCAGATCCCACATGTTCAACCACAGTTCAAGTTCTGGCCTCAGTGGCTTGAAAAACATGCCAGGCACATAAGTGTGCATGCCCAAGATCTTGACAAGATGGGCATATGGAGGAGATAGGATTGGGGCGTGACTACATCCCACTGGGAGTGCTTCCTTCTTCTCCCTTTCTTTTTGTCTTTCTCTGGTGAGCACACAAGCCCGGTGGCAATTAAAAAAGAAAACAAGAGGGGACAAAAGGTGGCATAGTGGTTAAGGTGCTGGACTCCCACATGGCTGACCACATGATTCGAGTCTCACACCTGGAGGCTTGAAAATCATGCCAAGCACAAGTGTGCATGCCCAAAATCCCAGGAGGGGAGTGGAGAAAAAGGGACTGTAGCATGGCCATACCCCTGGGAGGACATACTGTGGCAAGAGGGAGACTTGTGCTTATCTAAAAGGCCGTGCAGGAGGACTGGTCCTGTAGTCTAGTGGTTAAGGCAGTCAGATCCCACATGTTCAACCACAGTTCAAGTTCTGGCCTCAGTGGCTTGAAAAACATGCCAGGCACATAAGTGTGCATGCCCAAGATCTTGACAAGATGGGCATATGGAGGAGATAGGATTGGGGCGTGACTACATCCCACTGGGAGTGCTTCCTTCTTCTCCCTTTCTTTTTGTCTTTCTCTGGTGAGCACACAAGCCCGGTGGCAATTAAAAAAGAAAACAAGAGGGGACAAAAGGTGGCATAGTGGTTAAGGTGCTGGACTCCCACATGGCTGACCACATGATTCGAGTCTCACACCTGGAGGCTTGAAAATCATGCCAAGCACAAGTGTGCATGCCCAAAATCCCAGGAGGGGAGTGGAGAAAAAGGGACTGTAGCATGGCCATACCCCTGGGAGGTGATTTCTTATTTTCTCTCTCGCTGTATCTCTCTAGTGAGCACACATACCCTATGGGGAAAAAAATTACCTTTAAAAAAGAAGAGGGAAGAAAAAGAAAAAAGGCAGCGCTGGATTGTAGGTACTGGAACCATGCAGGCCTGCCCAGAGGCCCTAGGATTGGCTGCTTGTTCTCAGACCTGTTCTGGGAAAGGTGTCCCAGGTGGAGCAGGTGCTATGGATGCCAACTTTCTACTGCCTGTGCATCTGTGAACTGTTTGGGCCCTTTCTGCAGACTCAAGACATCCTTTTGGAGAGAGCAGATTTAATCGCTGTGTGGGAAACAGGGTAGTGTGGCAGAAGTACAAAAAGCACGTCACAAATTACCATCAGGCTAAAGAGTCAGGCCATTTGGCTGTTCCAACATCAGCTGATTGTGAATGAAAACCATCCTGACTGTTCTAGCCAAGTTTCTGGCCTTCTGTTCAGCTGGGGGGAAAAAAGAGAAAGAAAGCTCCTTTGAAGACTTCACGGAGTATCAAAGGCAATGTTACTCCCTTGCCAGGTGGAAAGAAATCCAGCTTTGAAATAATGTCCTGAATGCTTCATCAACAGTAAAGAAATAGAGAAGTATTACTCTGCTGGTCAAAAAGGCCCAGAACTGAGGGTATGGAGACAGAGACCAGTGGAGCGGGGACAGTGGGTGCAGGGCAGGCTTAATCCCTTTGGCAATGTCTTTTTAGGTTCCCAGTGTTCCCCTCTCTCACCAGGGACTGTTAATACTCAGTGGCAGTCCCATTACAAAAAAATCACAACTTCCCATATATCACCTACTCGGGCATGTTCTATACTGGAAAAAAAAAAAAAAAAAGGAATGCCATTCAGTTAGTGTCTGAATACTGACTAATTCTCTGGGCCCCTGTTCCTGCCTCCCGAGGCAATGCAGCTCTCAAGTTTTTCCCCGCACTTCCTTCAAGTTCACATCATATTGCCCAAGTCTTGGAGAGTGGCCAACTCCAACTCAAGTAGAGAAGAAAGAAATGCTGGGGGGAGGGAGGGTGCCTGTTTCTCCCTTGGTGCTATAATGACATTTGGAGGCTCTTCTGTAATCCCCTTCCTCCCTGAAGACATGTCTGGGCTGATGGGCTGATGAGATAATTGAGACCTCCAGTCAGTAGCTAGAAAAGACAGTAAGGGCCCCATAATATGTTGGACCTGAGGGCACAACTCTTTGTGAAGAAAGACTAGGTAACACAGAAGTTAGGTCCACTACAACTCGGGGCCTTTTTTTTTTTTTTTTTGAGAGGTTTTTGCTATAGGGCACTTGCGCTCACCAGACAGACAGAGAGAGACAGAGAGATAGAAAGCGAGAAATCACCCCCCAGGGGGCATGGCCACGCCACAATCCCTTCTCCTCTTGGGATCTTGGGCACGCACGCACATGTGCCTGGTGTGAGTTTTAAGCCACGGGGTCCGGGCGTGAACCGCGGTTGACTACATGGGAGTCCAGCGACATAGCCATTATGCCAACTGCTGGTCCCAGGGGGCCTTTTTAATACTGCTTCCCCTGCTTGGAATACTTTTCCCAGGACTCTTTGCCTGGCAAATTTGTACTTAAATTTCTACTCTTAGGTTAGAGAATCTTTTACAACTGCCCCAAATTAAGCTCCCTTGCTCCCACCACCCAATTCTGTCTTATCACCCTGATTTTTTCCTTCATAGTTCATATCACAATTTATGATTATCTGTATGTTTACTTGATCAATATCTGTTTCCTTCACTAGACTCAGTTCCCTGAGGGTAGGAACCATATTTCTTTCATTCCTCTGCGCTAAGCACAATGCCTGGCACACAGGAGTTACTCAGTATACACCTGCTCATGGAACAGATGACATGGATAAGACTCCCTGGGAGATGCTGAGCTGCTGCTTGCTGTTAAAAGAAGTGTGGGAATGGGAGGAAAAGAGAATGTTAGCCATGAAAGGCATCTGGGGACCACTGATGCATAATTGGAGTTCTTTAAGGGGAAGCTGCTAAGTAGGGTATAGCTTACTTCTGTGAGGAGTCTCTCCATAGAACTTTTCTCTTCTCTCAGATGGCAGTTCTGTGCCTCATACTGGGGATGGAAGCTTTTGCCGGGAGTGCTGAAATATTTGGCCATGCGTCTGATTGTTTGGTTTTCCTCTTCAAATGCCTTCCATTGCTTCAGCTGTTAGATAAAAGAACACATGTTATTTATTTAATTACACACCCAGAAACACATTCTCTTACTCTTTCTCATAAATGCCAGGGAATGACAATGTCACAGGCACATGTGTGCACAAACTTTTCTCCCCTCAAAATGTAGGGCATTGGGGACATTCCTCATGACAGAGGAATGAAGAATGTTAAGATGATAAAGTTTAAAAACACCAAAGGAAGAAGGCGGCAGGTAGATGAAATAGAACAGCCTTAGTCCATCTACCGACCTGTTGCCAAGCTGATCAGAAGAAGCCAGAGTTGAATATACTTCTAGAGTCACACTCGAAAGCCAGGGTTGAGGAGCTAACACAGGCTAAGCAGTTAAACACTGTATGTTTCAAATAAAACTCTTTCTAGTTGCATATAGCTGTCATTGACCATTTTTCATTTGTTGAGTAATGGTGTGCTTACTATGTTGGAAACCTAGATCCTTGTCTGGAATTCTAACCAAATCAGTAATCAAGGCTCAGACAGACAGAACACCACAAATATCAATAAAAATGATGGAACATTTGGACATTCGGTCTGAAATTTGACTATTCTTTTTGAAAAATGAGGACAAACTCCCAAGCAGTGGGACTTGTCTAAGCTCACACAGCTAGTCAGATGCAGATCCACGGCTGTAACCAGGACACCACGCCCTCCACATGTCTGCACGTGATTGATGAAGATAGAGACTGCTAACTGTGGGTTCTAGGGAAAGTTGTTCAGCAGCCACTGGCCTTGGGACACAATCTGTAAGGACGGGCTGGTATAGTCTAATGGGGATGAAGCTCAGCACAGAACACTCACAAACAGGAGTCTGCTCCTGAGCCTTTGAGACACCGTTTCCACCTGGTGAAGGCCAGTGAGGAGGACAACAGGGGAGGCCACATGAGTAGAGGCTTTTCTTTTTCTCTCAGGAGTCTCCATGCCTCAGTGTCCTAGTGATGCCCACTGGAGTCTCTGGCACCACAGTTCTAGAAATGATGCTGAGGTGTCTGCAGGTAGCCTTACAAGGAACCTGGGACTTCTCTGCTCACTCATCAAACATTTATTAAGCTCTGACTATGGAGTATGACATTACATACATCTCAGGATTCCAAATCCAGCCATCAAATTCAATATGATAACCTCATTCAAGTCCTCTTGTTACTCAACATGAGTCCTTCATATTGCCAGGAGCCTGTTGACCTGCACTGGATCAGGCCATAAGCCTCTCCTCTCAGGTCCTGTTCTTGAAGGCCTCCTCTCCACACTGAGCCTCTGTCATCTCACTGCCCTACTCAGGAGCTACTGGAGAAGACGCTACAGACCACAGGGGTCACTCTCTGGTCTTGGGTGGATGGAACAGACCTATTAGGGTGGATGGAACAGACCTACTAGTCTCTGAGCACTGACCCCGACAGTATTGCAACATTTCTGCTGCCTCTCAGCCTGCTCTCCTTTCCTTAGCGGTATAGTTTTCCTTTCTCTCTCCCAGCCCTCCCAGTCTGAGCCCTCTCCGCAGGGCTGTCAGAAGAACAGGTAGGTCCACATTGGCATAAAGGCACGTCCAAGGTTTTAGGTGTCTCTCCCGAGGCGGGCCAAGTGGAGCCAAGGACTTCTAGACTAAAGCTTACTTCTACTCCATCCCCTCTTCCCCCATCCTGTCACTTATGAAGATCCTGGTCCTAAAGACTCAACCCTTCAGGGTTTCTGGAATACAGCTATAAATGGCATTCAGATCATAATTTCAAGACCTCTCTGTGCCTCTTCTTGAGAAGGACAGGCACACTCTTGTTTTCCCAGCCTCCGAGCTATGTGGGTGTGATAGGCTGAATAACTGCCCCTCAGAGATGTGCGTTCACCTCCTGAGTCCTAGGAACTGTGGACGTGTCCCTTTACATGGCAAAAGGAACTTTGCAAATGTGATCAAGGATTCTGAGATGGGAGATTGTTCTGGATTATATAGGTGGGCTCAATGTAATGATGAGGGAGGTGAGAGGGTCAGAGAGTCAGAGATGATGTGGTGGAGAAAACAGAAACAGAGGTGACAGAGAGAGAGGAGAGATCTGAATATGCGACACTGCTGACCGAGAAAGTGGAGGAAGGGACCGTGAGCCAAAGAATACAGGTGGCCACTAGAAGCTGGAAAAGACAGGAAAACAGATTATCCCCTAGAGGCTCTAGAAGGGATAGAGACCTACTGACACCTTGATTTTTAGCTAAATAACCATTCCAGATTTCTGACCCCCCAGAACAGATTCTTTCCTCTGCTAGACTGAGTTCCTTGAGGTTAGGAACTGTGGGTTTTTTTTTTTTTTTTTTTCATTCATTAGTACTTAGCACAATGCCTGGCACACAGGGGTGACTCACTATATGCCTGTTCATGGGATAAATGAAATGGATAAGACTCACTGGGGGAAATGTTGAGTTTCTGCTTGCTGTTAAAAGAAGTAGGAGGACGGAAGGAAAAGAGGATAGTATTGTTTCAAGCCTCTACATTTGTGATAATTTGTTACAATGGCAATAAGAAGTGAATACATGTAAAGTCTCTAACAAGACACACCTATAAAGTCTTCAACAGGACGCACCAGGGCTTTCGGAAGCTCACCATACAGATCTGTCTTATCTCTTGCCACTTATTTCCATTTGTGCTTCAAAAATAACAAAGACAGGGCCAACAGGTATGGTGGCTAAGGTACTGGACTCACACATGGCCAATTATGGTTCGAGTCCCAGACCCAGCAGCCTGAAAATCACACCAGGCACATGTGTGTGCGTGCCCAAAATCCTGAGAAGAGAATGGAGAAGGGATTGCAGCATGACCATCCCCACTTGGGGGTGATTTCTCACTTTCCCTCTCTCTGTTTCTCTCTGGCAAGTGCACCTAGTCTATGAAAAAAAAAAAAAAAAAAAACTAAAAGAAAAAAACCCCAAAGACTTGTGGTACTCCAAGCATACCCTCCTCTCTCCCACTCCTCTGCCCCTGGTCATCATGGTGTTATACCGTCTGACAAGTCACCCACCGTCCCTCCTCCATCTGCACAATGAACCCTTCAAGACTGAGCTCCAGGTACTGAGAAGGTGCCAGAGTTCTCAGACGGGCCGGGCACACCTTCCTCAAAGCACTTCACATGTGAATTTTAACTCCTTTCATGTCTGTTCCCTAGACCTAAAGGTGGGGCCATGTGTACATGTTTCCAGCAGTTAATGAATGGCTGGACAAAAGCATGAACAAACGAAGGAAGCTTCCTTTCAAAGGCTGGCTGGTCCTGTGTGGGCCCTGGGGCATATGCGGGTCACTCTGAGCCCCAGCCAGTAGCAAGTCCTCAGTGTCTTCATGGAGGGGCAGGTGGAACACTTTGGGTGACAGGAGAAACTATGTGCAGCCTGCCTCTAAGGGAGTGGTGGGGTGGGGGGGATGGGTCACATTCAGGTCACAGACGGAGGCTGGCTGACTGCTGTGATGACCTCAGTGCCTGGCATAACCACTTAGGCATTTCCTGAGGGCCTGGGTAGAAAGCTTCCAGCTCCCCGCTGGTTTCTTTACTGATGTCATCCCTTTCCCCTGGCTCTCTAGTGCCGCCTAGCTGCCCTCGTGGGTATCTGTTCCTTTGCTCTCACAAACTCTTCCCATCACAGTTGGTTTGAAAGCTCCATGGTAGGAAGGAACCCCACCCCGCAGCAACCCCCTAACCCACGGGCCCACATACATAGCTCCCCTCACACACTTTCTCAAATTTACTAAGCTGTCTTGCTCTCCCGGGAATACAGAGGGCGAGTCTCACAGGGAGAATCACTTTTCTCCCAAAAGACCTTTGAACCGAAGGGGAAAATCAATTCAGGGTCACACGAAAATCTGACAAACCTCGGTTACTTTTATATTTTAAAAAAGGACTTACCTTCTAAACCTAAAATACGATAGATTCTAAAATAGATTTCTTTTTGGGGGGTTTCACATCATGGTTAGTTCAAGGGGAGAAAAAGTAGGAGAGAGAACACAGAGGGAAGCTAGGGTAGGAGAATGTAAACTGAAGAAAGCTAGGAGAGGGGGGATGAAACAGAAGGAAGGGAAGGAAGGTGCCGACGCTGTCCAGCCCCTCAGTTCCTGTACCCTGTAATAACTCCATTGCTCCTGCTTCATCAAATCACATGCTTGTTGCTTAGTTCAAGCTGGAATCAGACTTCAAACTGTGTTCCATCTTGTCGGGTGTGTCCGTACAGATGGGCTCATACCCAGATACCGTGAGTGTCCCAGGTGCTGGGGATTCAAACACCAGAGGAAGCAAGGTCGGGACTCAGGGTGAGGGGCAGTGATGCGAGGCAGAGTGGGGAAGGAAGTGTAAGCGGGGCACATTGCGGAGGTTGCTGAGTCACTCAGTTTTAGACAGAGGTCTTGTTTTACACCACGGCTGCTTTCCTCTAATAGTTTCACGATGATGACTTCTGCTTCAAATTATTTTGTTCTCTTTCAGAGGCTCCTATTAGCCCTAAATTATATCCCTAGTCTTGCTTGATGGCCACGCCACAATCTCTTCTCCTCCATTCTCCTCTTGGGATTTTGGGTACACATGCACACATGCCTGGCATGAGTTTGAAGCCACCAGGTCCAGGACTTGAACCATGGTTGACTACGTGGGAGTCCAGTGACATAACCATTACACCATGTGCTGGTCCCTCCATATTTTCTTATCTAGTCTCTCACTTAATAATTTTATTATTATTATTTTTTACATGTGAAAGAAGGAGGGGGAAAGAGAGAAGTACCCTTGATAGAGTCTCATCCTACCATAATCCTCCTTTCCAAGCCCTCCTGCTCCTCAGGATCTTAGGTGCATATGCACATGCCCAGCAAGTTTTCAGGCCTACCTGGGGATGTGAACCTGCAGTCGGACATGTGGTTCCCGGCCTTGCAAGGTGCTCGTGTTATCGCCGCACCACAGCACTGGGCTTTGTCTCTCACTTATATTCGTCTTGCTTTTTTTCTGTTTCCTTAAATTAATTCACTGTTTTGCAGTGTCCAGTTCCTATTTGCTGTTTCCCTTGAGGTTTTAAACCTAACACATTGTTTTTCATTCTATTCAATATTTCATTACCTAAGATTATATCCTTTGAATGATAATTTGCTTTAGTTGAAGAGAGGCACTGTCTTCTGCGTCCTATTGACAAGACATTGTCTTCTAAAAACTTGGACTGTAGAAGAAGGTGGCTTTTCCAAACTTCAGAAATGTGTGATCCTCTTTTTGTGAACTGCAGTCTCTCTTTATAGGTCCTACTCTCTTAACAGGGTCTTTCCCCATGAATTTATAATCTTGCATGGGAAGAGCTATATTTTTCTGATGAATTAAATATTGGGTTATTAGAAAAGTCATGATGCATTTTTGCATAGAAAAACGTAGAAGGAAGTATGTCACGACTTTTCCGACATCCCAATATATTCTGTTTGTCTTTCCCTCAGGGTCACAAAATGATTGGATAGCTCCGGGCATAACAAACATTCAAAATAGGAAAAAGTAAAAGGGCAGCATAAGCCACACTTACGGTGTATTTCAGAAGAGCAAAAGCCTCTCAGAAACCTCCCATCAAGCCTCTGTCACGCAGATGCCTTTATGATAAGGGAGGCCGGCAAAGCACACGTTTAACGCTCATAAGCACGGAAGAAAGGGGCTGGCAAAGAGGTTACCATTTAACATTGTTGGCCATAGGGCCTAAGGGGTGGGCTTTGAAAGGTCCCTCCCCTATCCTATCCCCCATATCCCAGGGAGCAACAGCCCCTGTTTTTGAGAGTACTTTTCTGCACCATTCCAAATAAGTTCAAACTTTCAATGGCGTCCTTCCATCCAGTTCTTATAGCGTCAAGACTTGGCAAAAATTCCCCCAGTTGCTGGCACAGAGGCAATGCCCATCCTTGGTTTTTAGTGTTGCAGCTGCAGATTTTTCCATCCTTGCTTATTGTGTTGCACATATATATCATGAGAATTTGTGAGTGAAAGAAGAGTGAAGGGCCTAGGGCTGCCTCTCACCATCACGCCCTGCTCTCCCCTTTTATAATTACACCGTAGCTCTCTGTAGGTCATCCCTGGCATGGCTGGTCAGCTCCCTCCTAGAGAAGCAGTGCATAGTCAACTGGAAGCTGTGGTGGGGATCAGGGAGGGATCTTGCGGGAGGAGTGAGGTAAGGGAAGAGAGAAAGGAGAACTAGAAGGGACCCAAGAAAGTGCCTGATGCCAAGGTCAGTAATGGAGGTGTCTGTGGCTCCGTGGTCCCTGGGCCAGGACAGGGACAATTGCATGTCTCTTCCCCTCCTGAGTCTGCTTCTTCCCTCTGACTGTCTCATCTGCTATCTGGATACTTCTGCTTCTATCTTCCTTGTCTGATTTATTATTATTTTTTTAATTCCCATAATATGAAACACAGTTTTGTTTCTTCTTACTGTAAAAAGAAGAGGAATAGTCTGCATTTTCCTTTAATAAAAGGAAAAGAAAAACATTTTAAATCATGAAGTTACAAACAGATTTTTCCCTGTGACTCTGCAATTTCAAACTGGGAAGAAATAAAACTTTTTCATTCGCGAACCAGTGGAAGAAATATCATTATCAAGATGGGGGTGGGGGATGGGGATGAGTGAAGCAGACTGCAAGTGTAGAGCAGCAGGTCAGTGAGGCAGCCCACCCAGGGACAGGTGTGAAGGTAACTGCTGGGCCCAGTCTGGCCTTCCCTCATGCTGACTGGGGAACGCAGCTGACCTCCTCCACGACACTGAGGAAGGACAGAGGCAGCCACTCACAAGGATCCCCCACCTTCTTCCTAGTTCTCCAATATCAGTAGAAAACTCTGGAGTGACTAAAGGGACCAGCCCTGACCAATTCTCCCTAGAGCATACCTGGGGAACAAAGATGAAGCAGTTGATGGTGGTTGTGCAAACGAAGATGCCTCCAGACGTGAGTCCAAAGACCAGGTTGGGCCAGGAGTGCAAGTATCTGGTGACCACAAAAAGCAGGCCAGCCATCAGTACCAGGATGTTGACCCCAACCATGATGGTTAAGGACTGATTCACAGGAGGAGAGCTGACATGGTCAGTCAGCCCAGCCAGGTACGCACCATACAGCAGCAGCAGCCCCTACAGGTGGAGAGAGAACCACAGGCTTAGAGAAGTGGAATATCGAGCAGTCAGGTTGGGCCCAATTTCCTCCTCTGCAAATTGAGATAACAACACCTACCTTCAAGCATTGCTATGAGGATTGAGGATTGACTAAGATGACATAGGAAAAACCTTAGGCCAGTCCCTTAAACCTAGTTGGTATTTGTCTCTTTTACTGACAATTAGTTTATCAGAAGTCAGCAAATCAGACATCCGACAGGACTCTTCTGGGATAAGGTGCAGGACAGGCTCCCGAGGTAGGAGTCTTACAGAACGGGCTCTCGGACAAGAGGAGGGCAGTGGGCGGCACATCGCGTTGCTGGCGGGGAACGCTCCCACATCCATTGTGTGGCTTTGCACCGCATGAAGCTGAGGGAGCACGCGGAAGCTGAAATTGACCTGTGATCTGATTGTCCAGTCACGTGTTACAGCGGGGGTCGTGCCCAGAGGAAGGGCTCTTTTTGCGAATGTGTCCAAAGGCACCATCTGCTTGCCAAGCTCTGCACCTGCGAGATTGCATCTGCCTAGAGGGATGCCTTTTTCTAACTCACACAAAGGATCTCCACAGGCCAGCAGTGGCTCCGTGCCAGTGGGTGTTGATGGGAGACGAGGGTGGAAAAAGAGAACAAAGGCAGGCTGGAACCTAGGCAGGCCTGTGGGGCAGGCACAGGCAGCAAAAGCTCTGTCTATACTTTTCACCCATTTTATGGCAATTCCTGCCTCCACCACAAGGAACCCGGGGCTCTGTGCTTTCATCTTTCCGTTGAATACAAACCTGCTCACAGAGTTCTCATTTGTCCTAAGGAGAAAATAATTCATAGCATCCGAAAGTGCTTCCTCTCTCAGAAGGAGCTGCATTATACAGAAATCAAAGCTTCAATCATTAATATGTGGCCTACAGACGCTACATGTGCTTTTCTGACTATGTGCAGAGTGTCGTAGTAGGTGCGGGGGAGAAAACAGTGCTGTGAAGAAGACTAGGTAAGTCATGGTCCTGGCTTTGAAGGCACCAGAATGGTGGGTAGATTTAAGGTAAGCAAATACCCATATTTATAATATGGAATGCGCAGACGCCGTTGTGATGAGGTGGGGGCTGGAATCATGGATTCAGAAGAGAACTAATAATGAAAGTAAGATCAGGTGTCAGCAGGACACCTGCCAGGGACCCTGGAATGTCATATAACCTGGCCAGCTCCACCCGCAGAGACAGTGCTAATGGTGCTTTTTGGAGGACTGGCTGTCCCAGGAGGGTGGGAGTCAGCACAGCAGAGGTGCCTGCTGGTCCCAAGGCGGCCTAGTGTCTCGGATGGGGCCTGGAGCTGAATGGGGCCACTCTGAGATCTTCTGCCACCAGAAGACACATAAATCAGGAGGTCAGTGGGGCTTGACTTGTGGGTAATGGATGCCAATGGGTGGCATTCAGCAGATTTGGATCATTAGTAATTTATCCAAAGGCAAGTGAAATGAATTCTGTGACTTTGAAATGTTCAAATATGATTCTATTAAGATATTTTCAGTTATTGAAATTCTTCCTAATGGAGAAATGGGTAGGAATAAAGCAAGCCTTGCGGGGGGTGGGGGAGGCATTCAGGAACTTAATGTGGTGATTGGGGTCTTCCTCAGGAATTCCTCGGTGGCCTGGGAGCCTCTGGGTCTGGCTCAGTCCATTTCCTAGTGCTTGGTACTCTTTCC